TGCACCGGGCATCCCCAGGGATCACACCGTAGCACTGGCAGTGTTGTCCAAACCGGCTTTGAGCCCTGCCGGGGTTGGGCCACTGTCTCACCCCTCTTCCAGTAAATACTTCCTCCCAATAGCTAGCCTAAATTTCCCCTTTTTCCACTGTACCCATTACTTGTGGGCGTATCACTGCAGTTCCTGACAGGAGTCCCTCTTGGGCCACTTCAGGTACTGCAATGCTGCGGTGAGGAGTTGACAGAGCCTTCCCTTCTGCAGGCTGAACACTCCCAACCCTCTCAGCCTGAGGATTATATTCTACAGTAATTATTATAATCATAACCGAACACTTCATCATTCCACATGAGGAATGTTCTCCTTCCCAGCCAGGTTCTGACCTGTCTCCTTACCCCTTTCTGCGGCAAGGAGAGGTCAAAACATCCCTTAGACCATGCACTGCACTGTGTTCTCTTCCTGTTCTAACCCAGGTTCTGCTCGCTTTCCCCAAATAAACAGCACCTGCCCGCTCCCAAAAGAGTGCATTGCTTGGTTTACTGGACAAACAGAAAGCATTACACTGTGGGGGAAAAAACCCAAAACTATCTGGGAATAAAAATGGTCCAATTCCACCCACCCAGGATCTCCCGTGCCCAGCCCGCTGCCACAGTGGCGGCATCAGGCCTGTTACTGCTCCAGGCATGGATGTAACTCTCAGGTCAACAAAATACTCTGGAATTCATGGTGCTAATAAATACTGAGCACTATTTCCCAGTAGGATTAATAATTAGGAAGCCTAAACAGCACTAAAGCTTGCAGCAAATGACTGCAGCAGCACAGAGGAAGGGCACTCACCCACACTGACAAGGTGTGAGATGGAGTTTTAAACCTTTTTCTAGAAGCTCCTCACTCTGGGATCGATTTTGCTAGCACCCGATCTTCACAGGATGTATTTAAGGAGATCAGACTGCTGGAAAAAGGAACTTGCTTTTATTCAGAGCAGCACCTAAGGACAGGTATACAGCCTTGGGTACGCCAAAGGTTTGGAGACACCTCAAATACCACCACAATCGTTAAAAGGCAGTAGTTTCTGTGGCCAGCTGAGGTGTTTGCTTGGTTTTCTAAGGGGAACCATAATAAAACCAAACAATACTTCTTAAATCTGAGCAGTAGGTCTCCTTCATGTGCTCTCTGAGGGAGCTGTACAGGGATCCTGACAGCATCTGTGTCACTGCTCCCCAGCCCGGCTCACAGGCCCACCCTCCTACACCTCCTGCCACCTCTGCCCACGGGTGACAGCTCCTGACAATCTACATGGGCATTCCCACTTGGGCTCTTCCAAATAAACCTACATGGGCCTGATTCTGGAAGGAATCAGGAGCCTTCAGCAAGGAAGCTCTCCTGAAATGTCAAATAAAGAATGTATGTTTTCTCAAAAAAATCCAACACACGTTTGGAAAAGGCCCTCTGATAATGCCTGGGGTGTTTCTCTTTTTATCACTTATTTAAATTACACAAGTAGAAAAGTTATGCTTATTAATAGTTTAATGTATGAAGGAAACATCCAGATTTCTGAATATGAAGGTACATATCTCACATTAATTTAAGTCTACATAAAGTAGAGCCTCTATAACTGACATATTGAAATTTACTTTCTGCTTAGCCATTTGTTATGTAAACAATTGTACATTTATTTGCCATTCTAAAACTTCAGGATCAAGTTTACATAATTTTGCTAAATTTCTGTGTTTGCTCAGAAGCAGTTTACAGTACTAAAACCAACCAGCCAAAGAACAGCTTCAACAGAAAGTTATGTCAAAAAAAAAAAAAAAAAAAAGAGGAGGAAAGGAAAGAAGAAAGTCTAACTAAGTTGAAACATATGATGGTGGGGAATGGGCGGTCACAATGTTCACAGAAAAAGGTCAGTTAGTAAGTTCTTCTGCAAAAAGCCTACACACTTCAGTCAAGCACATCAGTAGAATGATCTGGGAGCACATAAACTGTTTCTGCCAATTGTGGTTTCCTCTGCAAAAACCAGGAATCTCAAGGCCAGCACGTTGATCCCACTCAGCCCAGTTGGTTCATATGCACACTGTTCATGTGAGGTGTCCAGGTTCCAGTCCACACCTGCAAGAGAAACCCAGGTTAGCAGCGTGCTCTGGGCTGCTCCAGGAGGGCACAGCTCACAGGGGCTGCAGGGTCACCTTCTCCTGGCCAGGACCATCAACGGGGCTCTGGGGGTGCAGCAAATGATTGCTCAGCCCAGCCCCCAAATCCCTCCACACCCAGAGCAAGCCATGTGCACTCTTCTTGACTGTAAGTTCAGACGAACAACAAATTGATTCCTCCCACCTTACCTTCCCCTAACACTGTCAGCTCTGGGGAATCCCAGGTCTAACCCAGTAAAGCTTTCTTTGGGGGGCAAAGTTTCCTCATGAAACCAGGAATCACCTTGCAGGGACGAGAAGCCACCTCAGAGCAATACCTGAGCTGTGGCCAAATCCCCTCTCCTTCACACCTATGGCCTAGCAGAGCTGGGAGTGCTCCCCACAGCCTGGATCATTCCCAAGTGAATTCAGCCCAGAAACAACTTTATTTAGTAACACCAACAGGGATCACTGTCCAATTAAACACAATCACAGGATAGAATCTATCCATTGCGGTATTAGTTCCTGAGTAAGAACAAGAGGTTTAGGGGAATTAATCCCTCTACCTAAATTATATTCAGTAGGCAAGCCAGGCAAGATCAGAGCAGCAAAGAGCTGCTTACTCCCCTCCTCAGGGCGCTCCTAACACAGTCACAACATCCTCAACTACAGAGCCCAGCAGCAGCCCTGCTGCTGCATCCCCTTCTCGGGAAGGAAAAGCTCAACTAACAGCACATAAACTGGCTTTTCCTATGAAATTCTGCCCCAAGATTTGTCTTCCCAAATGCCTAACTGCACAGACAGGAATTAGGATACATTTTGAGTGAAATGCACAGTGCAAAAAAGCGGAGCAATTACCGTCTGAGGCCCATTGTTTTCTGTGGAATTTGAAACCATCTTTATCAGCGAGTTCCAAGATGGGTCAGCAGCATGAGGCCCGTTAAAGATGGGGCCTCCAGTACCATCTGTGATGGGGGCTACAGGAGGAATTATGGCGTTCCCATACACAGAAAAAGGCATTCCCTGGGGGAAGGAAAGGAACAGTCACAGGATGCTTTAATGACTGCCACTGCACGGCCAGCAGGACAAAAGGAGGCAAGGAGGTGCTCACCCCGACTTTTGGGAAGTCCATGTATCCTGCGGGGACGGGCTGATGGAATGTACCGGAAGGCGCTACGATGCCCGCGCTGTCTCTCTCCATGGCTTGGTGCGAGAAGACGCCTGGGTCGGACATGGGCCTGTGGATCATGTGGCTGCCCATGCCGCTGTGGCACCAGTCCACTTTGTCTGCCAGCACACAGAGACACACACGGGTCAGCCACGGCACCGCCCGCGGAGCGCAGCCCCCACCCGCTGCACAGCAGCACCCACGGCGTGCACGGACAGACGGACAGACGGACGGACGGACGGACGGACGGCACCGCCAGTGCCACCTGCAGGGCCAGGAGCCCTGAGCTGCTGCCGGGAGTGCGGGACAGTTACCTGCAACCAGAGCGCTGCCCCTGCAACTTTCCTCCATTTCAACAGCAAAGCTGGCATTTGGGCTAACTCTCCCTCCTCCAAAAACCTCAGATCCTCCAAAAACCTCAATTCCTCGTGCCTTTGGTGCTGTGGAGAGGGTATGTACACTATGAAGACTATTTGCTCTACTTCACTACCATCCTTCCATTAATTACTTCATATTCTAAGGGACACAGAAGTATCTGTGCAAACCAAAACCAGCAAAGGACCAGCTGCAGATATGTGCTCATGTCCTAATTCATCAGAGGCAGCTTGGTATTGGTGCTACAGTTCCAACTCCAGACATTCAAAAAATCCAATTTTCAAAACAAAACATAAAAAAAAAATTATTTGGAGAAGGGGTACAGAAACATTTCTGAGGCACTCCAATACTCAAGTAGAGAAGAGCCAATCCCAAAGTGAACTGAAAATCAAAATGTTGAAGTCATTGACCGAAGCAGAAAGAAAGCAGCATCCCAAAAACCAAGACAGGTACAAGAGACAACTTTCACAGCTACACAAGGCAAATAATTAGTGAATTTCTAAAGCTTTATCTGGGAAAAGACCATCAGTGAAGTAAAAAAGAGTTTGTATTTGGGGAAAAATGCCAGCACAGTCAGTGAATGAAAACCTTCAGCTGTCTGGACTCAGCCAAGGAGCAGAACAATTGCTCTGAACGGTGGAGCAGTTCCAGCCCCTGCAGGTTTTCCAGAGCAGACTGGATAAAGCCTTGAGCAATACAGGCAATAGATGGCAAACCCCATTTTGTGCAGGAGGCTGACAGGACATCCAGAGGTCCAATCCAACACAGCCTCAATATTCATACCCCCCATGCCAAGCAAAAAAAAGCCCTAAAGAAATTAAAAATATAACTTCCCACAAAAAAACACGCAATTAATATGGAAGAAGTTAATCAGTCTCCCAGAAATTGCATCCAAGACTCCTGACAGGTTTAGTAAGAAAAGCTGTAAGACCACTGACTGAAATTGTTAATAAAATCCAAAATACTAGATTCTATGTGACTCCAGGAGAGCCAAGAGCCTTGTGCTAGTAGAAGGTGGAGACAGCTGAAAAGAATAAAGCAAACCCAAATGTGGATTTTTATCACTTTATAAAAGCACCATTCTCAGCACAAAAAGTTCTACCTTAGCTACAAATTAAATATTAACTCCTACCATACAAACAACCTCTTTATCAACAAGAAACTCCAGACAGTTATCTTGTGACACCTCCATTTCCCCTCTTCCTCAATTCCACATTCCTCACTGTGTTCATGCCTGCAAGGCCTGTTTTTATTTTTCCTGCTCCCACTTGGGAGTACCAAATCTTCATAGCCAGGACATTTCAGAACCCCCCAGGGCTTCAGAAACCTTGTTAAAACAATTAAGTGGCCAGGAAGGCTAAGAGAAGCCCTTGTTCTTTGGAAAGAACATTTCTGTGTTTTCAGGCACCCGCTTTGGCATGCTCCTGTGCTGAAGACAAACACAATGTGTGATCAACTCAAGTGCTCCTGTAACCCCACATACCTTGACTGCCACCTATACCTTCGAAGGACCAGATCCCACTGTGGCCCACCGGAGCAGCCAAGTTGCTCCCAATTACAGAAGGAGTCGACGTTCCAGTTTGTCTAATGCGTGCAGACCGTTCAGTCCCAATGGGAACAGGAACTTTTCTGTCCTGAGAAACGTTACTGGGCTTTTCTGATCCCAAGGACACTGCTGAAGGGGTGGGAGAGGGTGCTCGTACTCCAGAGGACACGGACTGAGCAGGAGATTCTGCAGGGAGAGCAACAGGAGCACTCAGTGATGGCAGCCAGACCCTAAATCCTGCCCTCCGTGTCCAGCAACTGCAAGGGCAGCTGGTTAATGCCACATTCACCCACCTCAGGATCATTTTATTTCCAGAGCACAGAGATATTCACCACGATTTAGCCCCTTATATAAAATGCTTATCATGCCCTGGTAGCTCAGCCACTGGAGGACACGCACCACAAAACCTTAACTAAGCATCACTGCCTATCAGCAACAGAGGATTTGAGGATTATATTCTGAATCAGAGCTGAAATAAGCCCACATAAACCTGTCTTTGTTGGGTTTGTTTCTTCTTCTTCTTTTTGATTTGTTCCCTGGGGTTTGTCATTGTTTTTGCCAATAAAATACATTAACATGTTCCCTAAATAACCCCGCACCCCACAACTTATTTGTTTTCTGTCCAAAAAGCTCCATACTGCAGGGGCCAAAGGTAGAGGAGGAACCAGAACCTGCCCTAAGGATTTTATCCTGGAGCTCCTTATGCAGCTCTGCCAGACAATTTTATTTACACAGCAGCTTCTCAGCAGCTCCCTGCTGCCCAGAACTCACCATTTGATGCTGATGAACATGGAGGCAATAAACTAAGAGGGGAGAAATGCTGTCTGTTGAAATTAGCAGCTGCAGGCGCGCCGCCCAGCGGTGTCCCGGGCGCGTACATCTGCCCGCCCGACAGGTTCGAGGCAAAGCTCCCCAGGTGTGTAGAAGAAGGGGTTACAGAAGCATAGGGAGAATCCATACTGACAATACCTACGACAGAAAACGGGCACAAGTGACTCCCACAACTCCCACACTCCAGCAAGAGCTCCCTGGCAGCATGGAAATAGAAAGGAAAACTTTTATCCCACCCGTCTTTAGGGGCACGTGTTACAATTTTCCAAAAGCAACGGGAGCATTAAGCTCCACACTTCGCAAGTCTGTTCAGTGTGTGGCAGTTGTGCTGCACACCTAAATTGAGAATGATATCCCAAATAAAAGAATTATTGCTCCCTTCATGTCCTCGTCAATGAAGAAAGGGAAAAATAAAACCTTAGGGATGATCTCAGACTTATGCACTTCTATATCTTAGGGGCATACAGGGCCCTAGTCAAAATGCTGACTAGCGCATCAAGGTAAAAAAAGTAAAGCACCATCATATTCACAAAATAGGAAATAAAGTGCTACTGTATGTCTCAATCTATTAGCACCTCAGTGCTCCTACAAAAGCAGGCAGAGATGGTCCAAACCATCTCTGTACTTTCTGGAAGCTCCGTAACAGGTTCTGTGACAACCTCTTGGCTTCCGTTTTGGGCAGAAACCAAAATGTCATACTAAAAAATGCAGGCAGTCAAGGAAATTACATTTTTTGGATCAAATGTAGTAATTAAGAGAAGACACTGCCTGTAAGTTACAAGACCACCCTAGAACTTGGAAGATGCTGCACATTTTTCTGCAGCCTCAGGACAAGGTATCACAAACTGGAACAGTCGCTATCTAGTAGGGAAGGGGAGTGGGAATAAGAGTGTTTTATCTCAGCTATTGGGAGAGGAACAGAGTGGAATGGCAAAAACCCTCTTATATCAAGCCCATCAACTGCCAATCAGTTACTAGATTTGACAGGGCACTTAAAATGAACTCCACTTGGCTTAAACAACACAAGAATGAACTGTATTACTATGGAATGGACACACGCCAGAGGCTTACCTGAGGGACTTGGAGCTGGCCTCTGTAACGGCGGCCGAAAACCCGGGGCTTTGGAAGTGTCGGACTGATGCAACGGATCTGAATTTGGCAAAAACGAGGACTTAGCTGAGAGCATGGACTCCGGTGCTGTCTGCGAGGAAACGACGGAGCCGCCCCAGAAGGCATGAGCAGACGTGGGGCTGTTCTCGAACAACGTACTAAAGGGCCCGAAAGGCAGGGTAGCACTGAAGTTGTTCCCCATGGGCTTGTTCGCCGCGTGGGCCGAATTCTGAGAAGCACTTTGTGTACTTAAGGTAGAAGGAAGCTGCACTGAAGAAGGAACGCTGTGGGGCCTTTTGATGTGGTTAACGTTGAGGACTGCGACGGGGGAGTTCTGCACGGGAGCTGGATTCTTGGGGACGC